TATGTTTGGATATATAGTAGGTCAAGTTACGGTATGAAATGAGTTAAATCTATACGATGATAACTGGTCTATAAAAGATTGATTGAATACATGTGTGTTGATATGTAAGAAAATGTATATAAAAATATTGTTTTTTTTTTAAATGTGAATACTAAGGAAGGTCCTGCATGACCGTGACTGAGCACTTTATTTTTTACACATTAAATAATAATATTGCAAGTGTAATCCATTTTGGACATTGGAAGAATTATATATAAATTTTGAATGGTAGTGTATAACACACAGTATACCTACATATTAGTGCTGTCAAATCGATTAATCATGATTAATCGCATCCAAAATAAACATTTATGTTTACATAATATATGTTTGTGTACTGTGCATATTATATGCATATATAAATACACACACATGCACAATATATTTAAGAAATATTTACATATATAAATAAATATAAATTACATATGAAGAGCTCATTTGCAAAAACAGATAACTCCGTTTTTTTATTTTCAAAAATCATGTTTTTATTATGTTATCATGTTTTTATTGTTTTATTGTGTTAGTTAGATATATTTTTTTGCAATTTTTTTAACCTAATCAAAATAACCCAACTTCAGTTTGATTGAGATTAATTGGAATGCACAATGAAAAAACATGATTTTTGAAAATTGTTAAAAACGGAGTTATCTGTTTTTGCAATTGAACTCTTCATATACGAATACACACACACACACACACACACACACAGTCACAACTTCAAGCATATTCAAATGTACTCATATTTAACAGTCAGTAATTGTTGAGATTATCTCCATGATCTACCATAAGAATGTTTTTCCTTTTTCCCCACATAAAACTGTTGTTTGTGCGTCAAATGCGGTTTTTGAATGTGAGTATTGTGGTTTGGATTATGTTACTGGAAAGTTTAAATAAGACAAACATGTTTATCTATGCCTACTACTGTTTTTTTTTTTTTATTTATGTGTTTGATCATTTTTATTATTTGTCATTACTGCAGCGTCATAAAAAGACAGGAATGGGGATTTTTTTCCCCCCATGTTTTTAATTAATGTTTGTGTTGCAAATTTTGTGTCAGTCTTCTAGATCTTTCATACAAACACACACACACACACTTACACACACAGACTTATCATGGTGGCTCAGAGACATTGTACCTGCTAGTGGAACGGGGAGTGGCTACTAGGCCTGACCACAGAGGAAATCAGCCTATTGTAATCTTCCCAGTGGGTAGCCTACATGTGCATGTGTGTGTTCGTGTGTATGGGTGGGTAAGTCAGAGAAAGAGAGAGAGTGCGAGAGTGAAAAAATAAGGAAAATGGTGCTACTGCAACATCCGGTTAATAATTTATTGTGACAGGTCGAACAAACTGAATTTATGTGCCAATCTACTTGCGACACAGAGATGCCTTGTTGAACACAGAGAGGAAAAGGAGCTCTGACTCAACCGAGAGATATGAAAGAATGCCAGAGTTATTCTTGCTACCTCATGTCTCCTATAGACTCACATACAAATCAATTCAAATTGGAGACATGAATGAATGCAAGTTTCTAATTGCTTTGCGCAAAGTCTGTGGTTTTGTATGTCAGTCACACTGAAGGTGGAGTTTGCATTGAGGTGCTTGCACATGTTTGTGTCTGCTTTGATTGTGTCATCATGTAAACTAACCATTGACAGGTAAATTGGTCAGAGCTGACTTTAACCGCAGTGACCATCCTGAAACGTAATCTCACAAACCGCCTTGATGACACTGCGCCATTAAAATCAACACTGGGGCCATTAGCAGTGGTAATTTAGTAATATTTGTGATGGAACTGTAATGCGTTTTCTTTAAGATATCGTTGTGGTGTGATATCAATTCTGATTTATGTAAAGTTGACTCCTGGTCAACTATTGTAAAGTAATTTATATAGGATATGTTGAGGTTCACTCACGCAACCCAAACTGTATTTTTAGGTCTGTAGAACAGTTAGTAAAAAGTAAGCTTTTGCTTTTAAACAAAAATGTTAAACTACGTTTTTTGTCATATACATTGAAAATATATTAAAGCAAATAAATAATCAGTTATGTAAAGTAAATATCAATGCAGCAGTTAGATACTCAGGCTTGCAAGTGTTTTTTGGTGCCAGTGGAAAATACACTTTAATTATATATTTATCTGTTTAAAATTGTAATTAATTCTACATTTTCAAAAGTTTTAGGATTGGTAATATTTTTTTTAAGTTTTTGAAAAAAGTATATTATGTTACCAAGGCATTTATTTGTTCAAAAATACAGTAAATTGAAAATTTAATTTTAATATATAGACATTTTAATATATTTTGAAATGTTATTTATTTCTGTGATGGCAAAACTGAATTTTCAACATCATTACTCCAGTCTTCAGTGTCACATGATCCTTTAGATATCATTTAAATATGCTGATATTGTGAAACATTTCTTGTTATTATTATTGTCGAAAACAGTTCTGGTGCTTAATATTTATTTGGAAACCATTATACTTTTTTCAGGATTATTTGATGAATAGTAAGGCTTTTAAAAAAGTTTTTTTTAAGTGATTATTTGAAATAGAAATCCTATGTAAATTTTGTAATAAATGTCTTTACAGTCACTTTTGATCAATTTATTGCATCCTTGCTGAAATAAAGTATTAATTACTTTAAAAAAAATCTTTGGAACAGCATATATAAAATATTTCAATATTGAAAATAATTGAAAAAAATTATAATATATAATATAATATAATCATGTAAAATGTTGTAGTTAATGTAGTTAAAGTGCTGTAGTTAATGCTGTTGAAACGTTTAATGTGTAATATGAACAAAACTCTTTACATTAATATATACTTTTTACATTAAAACCCCAAGTTATGGGGGTCAGATCCTCCCATCCAACCCCCCTGTATAATTCGCACCCTTAGTTCTGATTGGACGGCTACAGAGACATATGTGATGTCATTATTGAGCTCGGAAACGTTCCACACACTGTTTCCAACACAAAGGTCACGCTCAGAGGGTGTGTGTGTATGAGTGGAAGGAACTCTTTGCACCTGTGTTTTTGTTTTTTGGTGTCACTTTGGGGTGGTGATACACCCCCCACCAGAACCATCACCACATCATTTTTTCTTTCTTTCTTTCTTTCTTTCTTTCTTTCTCTCACTCTCTCTCTCTCAGACAGAGAGCAGGTGTGTGGGGTTTTGGGGGGTTGTGCTCCTGTTCTGAAAGTCTGCTCATGTCTCTTCATTGACAGGCCTTTCCGTTCCTGTAACCAGCAGCACTCAGCACACACGCACACACACACACACGCACATTTAGTGAACAGATGCTTGCACAAAAGAACATCAGCTGACACAGTAGCAAAACTCTTTTCAGACGATAATTCTCTGTTTCTCCTCTCATCTCCCCCTCGTTTTACCTCCCTTTCCCCTTTCGGGCATCCTCTTCAAGCGTGTAGCATTTTAACTAAAAAACTTTTAGGTGGTTAAAAAATAATAAGGCGCGGTGTAATTCATATTTGATCATCATCATCTCTTTCTGTCAGAAAACCACCCTATTTTGAACACACATATCTTTCTTACAGCACATCAACGTTATGTGTGGGTGAAAGTTGTGATATTATTCTAGTGTACTGAACCATGAATAGCTCCCCAGCTCTTCTCTAGCACCGTATCCGTGTATATTTGGCACCTCTGGTTTGTTTTTGGGTTAAATGTGGGTGTGGGGAGGCCAGCGAGCAGGTGGTCAGGATGATGTGAGAGCTGGGCAGCTGCAAATTTAGGCCCTGGTCTGATCCGGGCCTCCGCCTTCAACAGCCACACAGGAAAAGCAATACCCTCAAGAGACTCAAGCAGAGTTTCTACACCACAAACATGCATATATACATGTTCAAATGCTAGTATACAACCCATAATGTTCATTTTTTTACTTAATTTTCTCACCCCCACCAACACACACACAGTGGGGGAGCATCTGTTAGGGCTCGAGTTGGAAAGTGTTTCCATCAGTGTGAAGCCCTGGGGGACTGACAGCTCTCTACAAAACACCTCGCTTAAAGATCTCAAATTCACCCTCAAAAACAGTCAACACACCCATGTGAACAAATAGAATGTGTATCTAATGTGGTCTAATGTGTGTGATGGTGTGTGTTGTTGGCATTCAGAGAAAGCATTCCTAAGATAGCCTGAGAGAATACAGTTGGTGGCATTTGCATATGTCCTACTACAAACCCTGATAGAGAGTTAATAGGTCATTCCAGATTCTCTCCATTCATATTCAGCCTTTATCATTTCTTTCATGTTACAAGCTATACAGAACCATTTGAATACTATACAATTATAGTTATCTCACTGTCACAAGTGTTTGAGTAAATGCTGAGTATGGCACTTGGTGAGATGGTTCAATGGTCTATGGAAAATGGCCGCATTCACTTGTGTGGTGTTGTTTCTTCAAGAGAATTAAAGTCAAAATTATCCATCATCCATCTTACAGTGGCCTCAGAAAGTAATTAGATACACTTTGGCTTAAGTAGGCCACACTTAAAAAGCATTCATGTCTTTTGATATATTATTTTATTATTTATATCAATTTTATTTAAAAATTATTTAAAAATACATAGCTTAAACACTTTTTGTTGCATTTTATTACAAGAAATATTAAAGTCGCATTACTGACAAAAAAAAAGATTTTAAGCATTTAATCACAATTATACATATTTATATGCCTCTGTTATCAGTTATAAAACAAAAGATATATTATTCATAAATAAGAAAAAATATATATATAATATAAATATAATATAGTTTCAAGTCTTCAAATACTTTTTGGGGCCACTGTATAGCACTTCATTAAAATAAATAAATTGGCTTCAAATGCTGACAGTAGTTTTATTTTGGTCTTATTGACACCTGTGCAACACACTTTTTAAACACAATGGCTTTAGCAATGAATTTTTCAAAGTGGAAAAGAAACCAGTAAGCCAGAGATATTTTTTCCAAAACACACTTTATTTACAAGGCAGTTATAAAAGTTTGTATAAAAAAAACGTATGAAAAGTTCATAATCAGTGTAAAAAAAAGTGTTTGTACTTGAAGCTAATACAAAAAGGCAGCGAATAACAAAAACGTTACTGCTAAATGCTTTTGATTGGACACTGCAATCTTAGTATCAAAGGCTGATTGTAATATCAAAAACAAGCCAACTAGGTATAAAAGCAACAATCATTTCAGTGTTTCAAAAACTAGAAATACCAGTGTAAATCTGATTACAAACTGACATAAAAAAGTGTCTATGAAAACGTGATTAAGAAATGTTTTATCATCTCAAAGGCAAATCTGTGACCATTTAAACCCTTGATTTGAAAATGCTTGGTAAACCTTGTTTTTCCTATTTAGCGAATACAAAAACTGGGGGGAAAAAAACAAACACTTTTTGTTCTGTTGAAATCTCTGCATAGTTGATCTAAACCCTGAAATAGTGCTAATACAGTGAAAGCTCGACATTGTGGTTTCGATCTTGAGCACTTTTGAAATGGAAACACTACTAAGCTGGCAGAGTACCTTTGTACACTAGATATATCACCTAAAATCTACATTAGGCAAACTTGAATTTTCAAACTTGGCGAAGTCATTTTTAAGCATTGGGTACGGTTTGTTTTGGCCAGGAATACATAGCAGTGCTGTTAGGCATTTGGTTGAAATACATACGATCTCTGCAAGGGCAGTTCTGTCGGACACCCACAGATACAGAGTACAAATCTTGTCTAGTTTTGGGTGTATATGATTTTGATAATGCTAGGAGGACACACACTCCTTACAATTAACAGACATTTAGCGATTAAGAAGTGAGCAATACTGGGGTCAAACACTGGCAAAGGCGCCCACCGTAGCTAATTATTATTCTTAATACAAAATAATAATAAATTACTGCAAATTGTTCCTTATATTAAAATCCATAAAATTAGAACCCACATAGAGAATTCATTTCCCATATATAATACAAAATATATAATACAATATTATTAAATTGAAATAAAAAAAGGTAGAAAAACACAACATGAAAAATGTCTTTGGTTGCTTGAATCAAATGACGGCACAGCTTAAACACTGGCGACTAACATCGACTGTGCAGTCTACGAAATGGCTTTTAGCCTCTCCCAAATAATGTACCACAAGTGTAGGAGTGTTCCTCTTTTACTTCTTTTCAGAATGATTGTCTTCTTTCACTCTTCTTCCTTTTCTATATTTGTCTCGGTCTCATTCTATCTGTATCTTTACATGACCAGTGCTCGCGAAGAATAATTGCTGAGGTATTTGTGCGTTTCGGAGGGCATCATTTGCTCTTCCGTCTTCCCACAAAGCACCTGTTCCCATGTGCTCAACTGCTGAGAGAGAGAAAAGGAGAGAGAGAGGAAGTAAAGATGGAGAGAAGTAGAAAAAGTCAAAGATGAAGGTGATTGGTCAGGTTTTGCATAGCCAACACTTCTGTGCCTAATAAAATATAACTTCACAATTTTATGGCACAATTCAGCACCTGGAGTCATAAAGTCAATGTGTGCTACTACAAAATGAGCTCTAAAGTTTTACCAACCAACAATACATATTTAAAGAAAACATTTCATTAAAAAAGTTTTAAATAACATTTGATTTCAAAATTTACATTTGGATGCTTGCTTTCATATTGGTTACATATCGGTCACTCTGATACATCCACTAAAATTCATGTCCAAATACGTTTCAGATGAGTACATATAGGGCTTTCTGATAGTAGATATTGTACCTGCATAGGGCTTCCCATGGGTCTGTGGGGCAGCTGGGCTTTGTGTCCGTCCTCAGTTTTCTCTGCGTTTGGAAGCATCAGCACAGAGCTAGTCAACAGATCCTATAGGTTCCACAGAGAAAAGAGCCATCAAATGTTAACTTAATGCCGAGAAATAACATTTACTCTTGACGTATGTATACAAGCGATATCAAAATACTCACAGGCATGTCGTGGGCGGAGCCACTGGAAGAGAACAGCTGGGTGTGGAGATCTTGCCCCTCCCACTGCAGACAAGCTGACTCCACCTATAGATCCCAATCCATAAGATCCATTTACATTATTGACTACATCCAAATACACCATGCATAAATTACTGTATATTACTTCCATAATCCTGCGTGTAATATCTAATGTCTAATTCACACACCCACTCTTACACAGAATGATCAGACAAGTTCAACTGCATACTGATATATTACAGATAAGAAGCTCTTACATTTGAGCTATTTGAATATCACATTGAGACGTATTCAAATGAAGGGGCCCACATCATCCCAAACTGACCTCCTGTTTGATCTTCTTTAGGGGGGGCTGGTCCAGGTGCACCCCCCCAACGCTGATCTCACACTCCTGAGGCTCCTGTTTAATAGCACCAACCACTCCAGAGTCCAGTGAAGGACTATGGGCCTGGAACCAGAACAGAGTCTTGAATAAAATATTCCAAACTAGTGATGCACCATATATATGTATTATATCGGTTACTGGCCAATATTAACTTAAAGGCTTTTTAACTTATTGGATAGTATTGGATATTTAATTGTGCATGCTCATTTTCTTCTAACTCTAACTACCAAGTTAATTTTTTAAAACACCATAATAAATAATATAATTAATATAAATAAATAATAATGTTAAATCTTTAGCAAATCTTAAAAATATACTGTACAGTAATGTTTTTTTATTTTTAGTGTTTTATTTTACATTTTACATATAGTATAGAATTTTTAATCAGCCATAGCATGAGATATTATAATAATATAATAAATATATATAATAGTAAAATAACAAATAAATACATAAATATATGAATAAATTTAAAAATACAACTAATGACAAATTATATTTTTGATTTAATTTATGTAATTGACCTTTTTATGTAATTGTTATGTGAATTTATGTCTCACCCTCTTCAATGGTCCGTATTTGGTGTCTTGCATTGTCAGTGTGGATTTGAATGGAGTGGGTGTGCGAGGAGAGCACTCCATGATGGAACGCCTCAGGTTTGGGGTCCTGAACCTGAAATGGAACGCACACACGTGACTGTCTCATTACAATCACATTAATCTCATTAAGTCTCAATCATTTCATTTAACTTGGGATTTTGCTTTATATGTGTACGGGAAACTTCTTTATATATCGGATCATAAAGAACGCAACTATAAATGCAGAGAATACTGGAATGGACCCTTACAGCTCATTTTCCTTCTGAGGCCGAAGAGCAAGGTCTTTCTGCAGTGCTTTCTGGGAGCAGACAGGCGAGGACGTGACAGGTAAGTTTTGACTGTCTGAGTCTGGGCTCACTGATGCATTAAAGAACTGCAACAGAGAAAAAGAGGACAACAATCAGATACTGAACTGAAAACCACATATTCAATATTCAGAGGTGTGGGAGGACCTCTAAATGGGGTCAAAATCAGCATAATTTTATTTCAAAAACTGAGTTTCACATATGAGTAACAATACTGTCTCTAGGCTAAAAGTATTATGGTTGTTATAGTACTGTATGATCAGAGAATCACTAACATTTAATGAAGAACACTGCAAATATTTGCTAAGCATAAAATTGTGAAGTGCAACATAAATGTCAGAGGAAATTCAAAAAGTGCTTGCATGCTTATAATTGTACATCGATAATCCAGTGTTCATTGGAGATTTCTTTCAATTTCCCCCTGGTAATCAAGAAAACAACAACATTCCTTCATGCACAATACTGAGCTGAACCCGAACGATTTCTGATATTAAAGTCAAATGCTGTCTCGATTATGTAGCGTTTGACATCGCTAGGAAACTAATTGACTAAAACAACCAATCATAAGACAAGCAAAATCAACAGTGCCACTGATTAAACACTCATTCTGAAAAGATCAAATGAGTTAAGGCGTCATAAAAGTGTAGCACTAAGAGCTGATGTAATACACTCTAATATCTTTTTCTTAGCACACACTTTATGACCCTAGAAACACTCATGGGGAAGTCGTGGCCTAATGGTTAGAGAGTCGGACTCGTAACCCAAAGGTTGCAAGTTCGAGTCTCAGGTCCGGCAGGAATTGTGGGTGGGGGAGTAAATGTACAGTGCTCTCTCCCACCTTCAATACCACGACTGAGGTGCCCTTGAGCAAGGCACCGAACCCCCAACTGCTCCCCGGGCGCCGCAGCATAAATGGCTGCCCACTGCTCTGGGTGTGTGTGCACTTAGGATGGGATAAATGCAGAGCACTAATTCCTAGTATGGGTAATCATACTTGGCCACATGTCACGTCACTCACTCTATAAATGGGTTATGTTTGGTGACGTGACTTTTAGATGAGTCCTATGTGTGTTGACTAATGCAGACTGATATGTGTGAAGAGATTGATTCAGGGTGATAAGATAATCAATGATTGAGTTATTGGGTGACTGATTGATTATGGTAGAGCGTTTTCAGGGTACCTGAGAGGGAGAAAAAGGTAGGTGTCTGGTGGCTGAATGTTTGGGCGTAGAGAAAAGAAATGTGAGGGCACTGCTGACATCGCTGTGGGCGGGTGAACCCTGATTGGATTGAGCCTCCATTTTAGGAAACCTCCTATCGGAGTGTATGTTGGCCCAGATAGACGGGGCCTGAGAAGACGAGATCACGTGAGGACAGCGAGGGTTACGCTGGCTATCAGCTAACCATTCCTTTTAGATCTAACGTATGATACTTTCATGGTCTCTTACCGAATCAATAGCGTCAATAAACTCCGGTAAAGTGGAGCTGGCATCATTGTTTGGGCTGGTTGTGTTGCCATGGGCGCTTTCTTCTGGAAGGCATCCCTGCTCTAGGGATGGAGCCAGGACTGAAACCACCACACCAACTGAGCTGTCCGTCAAAGAGCCTCTGTTCCACCCACCGTAGCCGCTCATGGAGATCTGTGAGAGAGGGCGAGAAAAGATTTAGAGAGAAGCTCTGTGGGTGTAGGACAGAAATTAAGCAAAATAAAGAGAGGGATGCATGCAGGAAGTACGGTCAGAAAGAAAGGGAACTTGTCGAGTTGAATGATGTGAAGTGTTGGGAGGGGGTTCGGAGTTGCACAAGGAGTTAAACAGAGCTTGTGGTGTGATAAGGCACAATTGCATCATTTAGCCAAGCAGTTAGAATGTGAAATAGACCCCCAGATGTTTCCTCCAATTAATCATACACACACACACACACTTACTGGTAGTGCCTGCTGTCCCTTCAGCTCGTTTTCTGTTGACATCAAGAGCATCTCAATCTCCTTCACCCTCTTTTCTTTCTCGGGGTCCTCTTCGCTGTAGTGTCTCTGTATCACAGGAATCAAAACAGTGCAAAGTAAACAAAACAATCTATTGCTCTATTTTCCTCTATTGTGATACTGAACTGAAAGCAATTCAATTTAAAAAAATATGAAAACTATAAATAAAACGTCATATTGTTAGCGGGATTCAATTCAAAAACATACTGCACAAGTGTAGTTCGATTCACAAATAAATGAGACGACTCTTTTTATGATTGTCAAAATACTCTGGTTTGAATTAGTCTACTAATGAGATACACATATACATTTACTGTTATTTTAATGTAATGCATTCATGCTGAATTAACAGCAATTTGCTTTTGGGTTACCTGGATAGCAGCAGTGCCATGTTGAGGAATGTTCATGATGTTCAACTGAACAGCAAGTGGAAATGGCACCTGAACACAAGCAAAAAAAAGGTATTAATTACCAACTGAGAAACAGCATTCATACAAAACACTGTTTTAACTTTATGGCTAATAATAGTGTTATTTTTATAGGTAAACATTTGTGCGATAAGGCTAACTCGTACCCGTTGTGAGTCAGACAGTAGTGAGTAGTACGGATACTGATTGCTCATGGAAGAGGCAGGCATGGATGTATTGGTCGGTGTCTGACTGTAGTTCAGGAGGTGAGATTTAACGTAGCTGTTATTTAGCGGAGTGGGGCTGACTTTAGCGGCTAGCTGCAGGTAGCCATCCTGCTCGACTTTCCGCCGCATCGTGGAGTTCCAGTGGTTCTTAATGGCATTATCAGTTCTGATGACAAAAACATAACAATAGATTGTCATTATCACATACAAATGCATAGAATATAGTTTGTAAGTACCGTTTCTTTACCTGCCCGGAAGTAGCTTGGCGATCTCAGCCCATCGGTTTCCAAGTTTCTCATGCGCCTGGTAGATGACCTGATCTTCTTCCTCAGTCCAGGAAGTCTTCTTCACCTCAGGGTTCAAGTGGTTGTGCCAGCGCTCTCTACATTGCTTCCCAATCCGGCCCTTTAAGTGCTTCGCAATCACAGACCAACGTTTGGGGCCGTACTTCTGAACCAACTCGATCACCTGAGAAAGAGAGAGAAAAAGTTAGAAGTTAGAAGTGCAGGAAAAGGAAAAGGAGGTTAGAGCTGAAAGAGGGGGTGTATTACAGCCCAGCACAAACCCATAGAGAAAGGGAACTAACATTGCATAAGTGTTTTAGGATTGCACACAGATACAGATAGTGGTATTATGCTGAATATCTGCAAAATACACCTGCTAATGACTTCTGCTGGGTCATAAAAATGACGATAAATAGAGAAACACCTGGTCCCACCAGTTAATCATTACAACACAACACCCACTTAATGGATCTTTATTTTCCCCCTTAACATTCTCCTGGTTGCATGCGGATTAGTTGGTTTTGTAACTGCAATCCTGTGGCTGTATTTTGGTTATTCGAGGTAACATATTGGTTGTGGTTTGGTTATTTTGTGTCAAATTGTAGATGTCTTACCCGTTGGTCTTCTTCTTTAGTCCACGGTCCTTTTATAAGTTCAGGGTTGAGAACTTTCTGCCAGCGATGCTGACACTGAACATCTGTGCGATTCTGTGACACACACACACACACACACTTACAGTTAGGTAATAGACAATGGAAACTAATTTTAGGTTGTCAATGTGGTGTGTACTTTGAATTAAAGTAAATTGTTCAGTTTAATATGAGTTCAATGTTCTGCACAGGATCCCAGGTGTTTCGGAAACCCCACACAGAGTGAATCAGAAATGAAACAGCTTTAGTTTCTGATTCTTGTTCATGTTTTGAGATTGATGCAAAGAAATCTATAACTAGAAGTAGATGATTTTTGACTGCATATAGCTCGTAGTTATGTGTGTATGTGTACTGTCTGTTTTTGTGCCTGAGAAATGTTATACATTTATGTGAACATATGTTTCTACCTGAATGCACATTTGTGTGTGTTTGTACATCCGTGTGTGCATGCAGGTGCACAGTGGATTCTGAAACCCTGCCATACCCCCCCCCCATTTGACTCTGTTCCAAACTAGGCCAACCAATGAGGAATACCCAATTATGCAAAATCCTCCAAAACGTACACACACTTCTACAGTACCTGATTCTTTGGCTATTCACATGCAAATATATAAAACTGCAAATATATAAAACACCACACCTAACATAACCTAACCTAACCCCCTAAAGCCTAAATACACAAGCTGCATACATGGACGCACACTTAAACAATCATAGACACAAACACACACACTCACAGGCAGAAAGCTGGCAATGACTTTCCAGTCTTCAGAACCATGATGCTCTACCAGCCTCTTCAACTTCTCATCCTGTAAAAAAAAAAGTACAGTAAACACTGTAGCATTGAATACATAATCAAATGAATAATGCATTGTTAAATAAGCAATAATGAATGTTTACATTAAACAATAAATACATAAAGCTACATGAAAAATAAAGGGTTATCAGTCAAACTAAATGTAAATACAGTGTGTTTAATTTGTTACTGAATACACAGGATGCAATATCAAACAAAAACAGCCAAAAACACTCCAATACATATAAATATCATGAAGGTGCAAAAAATCTTTAGCTTCGTGGATGCAAGACCCACTTTGAACTATATATAAGATAATTAAATATAAATTCATACATATAAAAATGTTTTAATGTCTTTTTTAAATTTGTATTCTTAATTTTTTGTATTTTATCAATTTATAAAATACAGTAAAAATAATAATAAATCAATCATAACAAATTATCAATATTAATTTGTAATAATAAAAATAATTAATAATTGGAACTTAAACGTATTTGTTTTTTAAGTATGGATCAGAGGGTTAATCAAAACAAAAAATAACACTTAAACAAAGCCAGACAACAGTTTTAGCATACCTCCTCACGGGTCCAGCGTGTCTTGCCGAGGTGGCGTTTTCCTGTCTTGGCATGAGGACCATCGTAGTCATGATCATAAATCTCCACATCATCATCATCTTCGTCGCTACTGTAAACACTGGGGGAGGAGATAGATTGTGAGATAAAGAGAACAGGGTATCAAGGGGTGGGAGGTGTGTGGGGTAAATAGTGAAGCAGCAAAAGCAAACATGAAGGATGTGGAAAAAAGAAATAAGGGAGTGGGGGACAGGAAATAAGACAGGAGCAGATCCTCATGAACATGATAGATGTGTTTGATGACATATGTAAAAAACACCCTTTCACCCCATACGTCTATCACGCGTTGTAGAAAAATTAAGCGATAACACAGTCAATACAAAACTGAAGTTGATGAACCAGTACAGCCGGCAGGTTAGGGTGCAGGGGGACAAGCTCAGAGAAACCTGTTCTGATGTTTTTGGTTTCCACAGAAACAGTGAGCGTGTGCATGGACTGGCACTGTTTCATGATGGAGAGAGCGTGTTCAGACCTGCACAGGTACTGTCAAAACCATCTCACCTGGCCGGCTCTTGGCCAATCAGGATGGAGCACAAGCAGACGTGGAGAACAATGTTCTCCTGGCCTTTGTGCCACAGGTGAATGTGTGTTTATGTACTTTTAAACCTCACGTTTATCCTTAATGCCAGTGCTTAAAACAAAAGATTAAGATGATTGCTCACTTCCTTGACTACAAGTATTTAACTGGAAATGTAAAACTCAAAACACACCTAGCTCACTGAAATTACATTTTTTTTTAAATACTAGTCAAATAGATACGGTTTCATTTTAGTGTGCATTGAGGGTTGTTGACTAACTGTACATGTGAATTTAAATATTTGTCAAAATAGTCTAGCTGTGGCTGAAACCGTATTCAGAGGAATTTTTTTTGAAATATCAATCTGTTTACCATTATCATCTCATGTGACCAATATAACAAATGCTTTATTTTTAACCTGTTGCCTGAGCTTGTTAAAAATGTATTTATTACAAAAGCACATGCATGATAGCTCTAAAATTTGAAACAAACTTAAAGGAGAGTGCATGCAAAAATCACCCTCATGTTAAGCTATTTTCTTTTTTCATCCTGTCTAATATTTCTTCAAACAGAAATATTACGTAGCATGACAGCCGCTGTCACCATTCACTTTCATTGTATGGAAAAAAGATGCAGTAAAAGTAAACGGTGGCCGAGCTGTCAGATCCTCATGCTCTCCCTAAATCTCTTTTTCGTCCGACGCAAAAACGAAAGTCATGGCAGTTTGGAACAACATGAGGGTGAGTAAATGATGACAGTATTTCATTTTTGTGGTGAACTATCCCTTTAAGACTATAATACTAGTTATTCCAAATCCGACAACTGTAAAGCGGATTTAGAAAACTCAGTGAATATAATCCATCCGGTTTACATATAACTCAAAATTAATCCAAACGTTATAATGCTGGATTACCTCCATGAAAAAAAAAACTGTTGAACAGTTAAAAAAAAATTACACGAGAACATGCCGAGATGTTTCTGCAATCGCCCGCTATTTTTCAGTCACACTACGTCGCCGCTGACACTGTGCCTCTCGTCCATTGTTTCTGAATCATAACGAGTGTGTATTCTTTGGGGAAGTACCGGATCTTACCGTAACCTGTCCAGCGGATTTGCACGCGCAGGTGAATGAATGGAAATTTAAATGAACACGAGCGCGAGACCACCGCGCTGGCGCGAGCGGAGAGCGCACATGCCATCCACCTGTTCATCGCGGCGCGGCGCAACCAGAAGAAACAACTAAGTATTCCGCGGAGAGATGAGTGCGTCTGTAAAAATGCAACTAATTACAAGCGCTCCACTTCTGAACATGCATAGTAAATGTAATGCTGTCAGCACGAACTGTCTAGCTAGTCTTGAGTCTAAATGCCCGCGTGTGGCTGTGGAGCGCAGTCTCATAATATAAAGGAAATACATGCGCTCATCAAAGTTCTCATCAAAATGCGTAACTTAACTCTTAAAACTCACCTGTGTCTGTGCCGCCTCGCCATCCCGCTGCTCAACAGGAGGGTAACAGTTGGAGAAGTGATGGTGAGTGCGCTCGGCTCAAGTGTGCTGAAGTGGAGTGCTGTCAGCTCCTCTTCGAGGAGGAAGTGCCGATATTAAGCTCTCTACGGAGTGTGCGATATTGTAAACAGATCCATCAGACAAAGCTAGGGCTGTCTCTCCCTCCCGCTAAATTTGGCGCCTCGGGTTCTGCGCATGCGCACAACCGCTCTACTATTCAGACATCAGAGCGCCTTTTGAGGGAGAGGTCCGCGCTAATCGTTCACTGTTGTTCTTTTGAAACAATTATATTGTGTTTTTCGAGGTAAAAAGACAGGGAGGGGTGGCAGCGGGTTTCATAGAGGACAATGTGGACTCTGAGTGGGAGTGAAAGTTTGGCAAACGGGGAAACAGAGCGTGAGGGGTCCGGGCATCCTCTCTCGACCCAGCGCTGTTTCTGCGGTACTGAGGCTGTCCTATAGTGAGTGATGGAATCGTAGAGAAATTTCGCGATTCCTCTGGTTCGCGAGTCCTCTTGAAGATGAAAAACTGTGAAAAAATCTTAAAAATATTCTTATTTTATTTGCAAAATGATAAGATCATAGTTTAACAGAGTGTATAACAAATAAATACATTTAACACTATTCTTTCAAAACGTGCTCTCTGCAAACCAAGATTTGTGTGACTTTTACCAGACATTTTAGAAGCACCATAAATGCAGATCTGTAGATAATAAAAAACTAAATCACGTTTTCACGTTTTATTAAATTCTATAAAATACCAATGATTACAGCAAAACGTAAAATGTGTATCTTTAACACGTTATCATATGAACAACCGGCAATTAACTTTGATTGACTTGATTTAATTTATTTATTTAATTGTTTGATTGATGCTTTACGATGCTTTAGTGCAGGGCTGTCCAAACTCGGTCCTGGAGGGCCGGTGTCCTGCAGAGTTTAGCTCCAACTTGCCTCAACACACCTGACTGAAAGTTTCTATGCCTGGTAAGAGCTTGATTAGCTGCTTCAGGTGTGTTTAATTAGGGTTGGAGCTAAACTCTGCAGGACACCGGCCCTCCAGGACCGAGTTTGGACAGCCCTGCTTTAGTGGGATATGAGGATAGTAACTGATTCAGTGTTTTTGATTCACTAAAAAGAACCATAGGAGTCATTCGTTCGGGAATCGAACTTCACAGGGGCCCCGTATGTTTTTGATTCACTAAAAAGAACCGACTCATAAGAGTCATTTTTTAAGCATTGGACCGCACCGTCTCCCTATGTTTCGAAATGTGAATTCAGAAGTTGTATTGCGCTTAATAGCCTATCAGTGCAGAAAACACTGAGAGCATATTTGAGTAATGACAGAGTATTTTAGTAAAGATGAACGAATTAGGCTACATGTTTCCTTTTATGTCATTAGATTGCCGTAGCCTATACTTTTTCAAGTTCCCATTCCAAATATGCAGGTGTTCAGTTATGGAGAACCAATTGCCCAGAAAACAGCTTGATATGTGATGTTCTGGTATTTCCTTTGAATTAATATATTTTTTCACTTCTCTCGCTTTCATCGGGTTACAACGGTTTCGCTTTTCCTTTTCCAGAAATGTACCTACCACCTCTGGGTTGCTAATAATTTCACTTTGCGTCACGTTACACAATACATAGGCATATGGCACATTTTGTTACTGAAAGTCACAGTTAGGTAGGTTATTTGTCTGGATGGAAAAGTAGTGCAGCTTGTTTAAGTTCTCCGACATGTCCAACCTGTTGCCATGTGATAGTCTGCGTAATTGCATAATCATCGAGGAGGGTGACCAGCAAACTCACTCTGTCACACACTCTTGAGGTTCGTGGTCTATATGTTTTGTTTTATAGGTTGTTTGCTCATTGCGCTCACTTGGTTGGCATATTGTGACCGTCACTTATCATATCGGTCAGCGCGAGCCATTGTTTCTGACCACTGACGCTCACGTGCTCAGCAGAGCTCGTAGTGTCTGCGCGCTTGCTGAGAGCGCTCATCCATCCATTCCATTGCAGAACAAGGAGGGGTTATTGCGGGGGTGCTTCATTAAAAGAAAAAACACTTACACAGGCGCCATTTTATTTCAGTAGTCTACTTCCCTATGATGAGGTAGCAGGTGATTTATGACTACACAACAGATTAAAACTTCAACATGTCACTATTTGCTGTGGTGTCAATAATAGCCACACATAAAAATGTATGAATTGCATTGCGTAAATAACATAATATAAAGCCCAGCAGAATCTAAAACTACCTTTACAATATTAAAATGTATGTTGTTCACATTATAAGTCAAAATATTTGACTGCAGAGTGCCAAGATTGACCAGTCAGAGTTAACTAGGCTACTCTGGAAAAATGTGCAATAAATTCCAACTGGAGTATTATTATTATTAATAATAATATATTATTAAAACATACTATTAATATTATCACTACTATTGCAGTTATTTATGAAATATAGCATTAATCAAGAGCATTGCTCATCTGTAAGGTCCTGACAGGTTTCTGAGTAAAATGCAGTAACTAACTGGATGATTCATCTCACTGCACTCTCTGAGGCTTCTACAAACATCAAATGCACAAGGAGAATCACTTAATGTGAGTGCATCTGCATGATGATGTTAAAGTGCACAGTTTTCCATTGCAGCATGTTTGTGACCTCAAAATATTTGTGAGTCAGTCTGGAAACAGACACCACATACAGACTACAGACTTAATGATGTGTGAGACTGACCTGTGTTTAAGGCCTTATTAAAATGATAAATGTTATTTCTGTCCCCCCAACTCACCCTCCACCATGATACACAGCCACCGACACAACCTGTGGGTAACATTTTAGAAAGATGCAGTGAATGAAACATCCCCCACTGCACACACATACCACACTGGAGGTGAATAATGGGTCAGTCAAATGTTTATCTCCTGTTTTGTCTTCTACTAGTTTCTACCTTAGTTTAGTTTAGTTTACCTTGTCAACAATAGCAAGAAAACACAAAGTAGTTATGCATATGTCATGCATTGAATCTTTTTCAAAATGGACCTTCATGTTTACGTTTTTTACTAAAAATTGTATGTATCCGTATGAATCGCATTGTACAAATTCATACAAAATTGCAACTTCATAAAAGTGAAGTTTTCTTATTAGATCAGGTTGATTTTTCTCCACATGGAAAGAACCCCTCCCACCCATGTCATGCATTGAGGCTCTTTTTCCAACACACTCTCATGCAATTCATAGCTTTTTTAAGTTTTGGCAAATTGATGGCTAATTCGCATGAATTCGTACAATCTCATTCATACATTTTTGTACAATCTGCTTATATCCCACTGCAGTTTGGTTAAGGGGTGGACCTTCATGCTTACATTTTTCCCATAAAAATTATAAATTAATATAAAATCACCACCCCGTGAAATAGTTGAGATTGGTTGCTTTTTTTGCACATGGAAAGAACCCCTCCCACCCATGTCTTTGCAACCCATGTAGACTTGATATAACTGGGTCACTCTAAGAAACCATAAAGCATCTGTATAGCTGCAGTGCTGAGTGTGTTTTTAAGCTAAATTTAGACATGTACTCAAAAGTTTTAAATGTCATGCAGATGTGAATGAAACCTATTTAACACGAACAGTGAGATTAGTGACTGTGGTTAAATCTCTCTCATTATGTTTCTGTACCTACCTGATGTACAGAACAACACATTCATACATTACCTCAGTATTCCTGACTTGTAAGACATTAAATAGTAATCAAATTAATTTACCATTAACCAGAACTCCTATATCCTCTCCTTTATATTTTAGATAATTCACCCGATGTTTCCTATATTCCAGTATGAATGGTAATTTAGAAGAACAGGGAACTAAGGTGATTTTCCTCCCCAGTTGTAGGGTCATTGTAAAGTACTGAAACTGAAATATCAAGATCCTAAAAAATCTGATACAGCAGAGAGGAGGAGGAAGATTGAAGGTGGTTTCCAGGAGTAGGTTTTGCAGCTGCTGAGTCTTGTGTTCCAAGGACAGATAAACTTTACAGGGGATTTTTTTCTCCACTTGGGCAGCTGTATGGAGGTCAAAAGATCAATTAAACACATGACAGTAAGTGAAACATATACACATTATAGATAGGCTACCTATATTCGGAAAACCCATTGACAGTGGTTCCCCAACTGTCACGCAACTGTAAAATAATCTCGTCATAAATTTAGTTTGACAGGCTACACATTGTCACAATTTTTAAATTCACGTTTGAAAAAGTATTTTTTACACTTGTTAATAATTCAGCTGTCTAAATATACGTCTAAAATGAAAATGTACGAAACTTAGCATGTTAACAATAATATCCGCCTAAATTCAAGTTATAAAATTACTGCTTTCATTAAAAACATAATTGTTTAATCTCGAATTTTAGAGGCTTTCAGAATCTACATTTTAATGTACTTCTAGGGTCTACGTATTTTCTCACTGCGCATGCGCGTCTCTCCTGTTTGTGATGGCCGTCAACATGGCGGCAGTGGAGTGAGTCGCATGTCTAAACTTTACACTGACAATTGATTTCTTGCCTCGTGTACTTTGTTTACGTGAAAGAAAGCCGTCGAACAAAAAATGTCCCGTCACAGGAATGTCCGAGGTTATAACTACGACGAAGGTATATTGGAGGAATATGATATTTAACCGCTTTTGTGTAAAGAGGCCTGTATGGTTGCTAGTTAACGTTAGCTGGTTTATTTATACAGTGTTCGGTGCTGCAGATTATGACAGACTGCTGTCGTGTCACTTTCAGTTCTATGCTTTTAAACTCAGATAGTAGTTTCTAGTAATAGTAAACACAGCCAACATTACATTACATCTGGCTTTTGTATTTTTTTTATATATATTTTGGTGAGCACAAATCAGCTTTGTAGTTTATATAAGACAAAATAACATCTGGTTTCTTTTTCCTGTAAGATTTAATACATTTACTCTATTTCAACCCTGTATTTGTGCCTTTTGACTGTCAGTTTTGTTCATAACCTTTCTTGCATGGCTTCAGGTGGAGTGGCTGAGCTAAGCAAAGCTTTTTTAGGGTCCATCAATGCTTTTCTGTTTGTTGATGCAGCGGGATTGCTTTGACTAACTGGGAATATAACAGAATTGTCTCCATTTCTTCCTTGTTCATAGACATTGAGGAAGATGACATGTTCGGGCAGTCA